CTCCCTCCCTCCCTTCTTTCTCTATTCTTGCTTCATATGAGTAAAAAACCAAGGAAGTAAGCACTTTATCATAGACCAAGCAAAGCAACATGAATCTTGCCAAAAACACTGTGTGACTATTGGAAGACTGGCATAACTTGATGATGTCTCATCCCCATCAGGTGGCAGACGATCATATTTTGTACAAATGAAAGTCATCAAGGTCAGCCCTAGATACAGTGTATTATGCCTAAGTGCAGCTTTAGAAAGGTACAGAAAATCAGCCGTTTAGGCCTATATCTGTTTAAAAGCAATGCCAGGTTCTGAGAGGGAACGTGACCCTCATCACAGGAACATATCTTCACAGGGGGATGCTGATCATGTATCAGCTTTCTTGCCAGTTCAACTCATTCGTGCCATTTATTTATCAAGCCATAATCCCCTCCCTTTACATTTGGCCTCTGTGCCTCACTTAGAGCCTGTCACCACTGCATCCTTAATGCCCACTTACCTCCAATTAATGGGAATATAATGTAGTTGTGGCATCTCCATGATCTATTACTAGGACATCAGTAGTTCCCGAAATTTGTCTACACTCTCCCAACTTAAGCGGTAATGAACCATTGCATAGATGTCAAAGCTGTGCAGAGTTGGAATTTAAAATATGCCAGAATAGGTTGCAGTATGGAATAACTAGAGCTTTGAACAGTTATTTTATTGATTATAATATGGCCATGTTGGTTGGGGCAATCTGGGAGGTGTGATCAAGTAAAATAAAATAAAATAAAGTCTTGTAAAAATACAGGAAATATTTTACAGGAAATATATCTCTCTCACTTACACATAAACAGAGAGAGAAAGAGAGAGAGAGAAGAGCCTAAAAGATTGCACTAATATCCTTTGCCAAGATGTATGTTTTTTGGAATTATCAAACAACACCAGTGATACTATTTACTTGCAACAGTCCTGGCACAGATGCATACAAAATCATTGTTCTATTTTAATCCTGTTTTGCCTTTGAGAAAAGTTTTAAGTGTTTAAAAAAAGATCCTTTTTGTTAGACTGTTGGTATACACTGAAAATGTCCAAGTTTCATCCTCCTCTCTTGGATTTCTAACCGTGGTGCAAGCCTACTTGAGGAGAGAGCTGAGCCAAAATGCCACAGAAGGCTTTCTTTTCTCTCTATGAACATTTCAGATTCCACCCTCATTCCCTGCCTTTGCAAGAACTATACAAATAAGGCCTCTTTTCAGAAATTTCTCTATTTCCCCACCCATTGTTTTCCCACTTTTTTCTTTTCATGGCAACCAACTCTTTTCTTCCATCATGATCTGAAATGATGCCAAGCCCATAGTATTGTGGGAGGTAACAATTGGTGGCCAGTGCCAATGAAGATGATGACAACGATGATGATGATGATGATGATGATGATGATACTTTTCCACTGAAAGCTCCCAGGCCTCAGAAAGAAAGGCAGAATCCATGCGAATGATGAGCCCAACTGTTGAGAAACTGTTGGAGAAGTCTTCTCTTAATCACTCCTTTAGAGAAAGTTGGTGAAATGGTTCCCCTTTTAGGACTTTTATCACACCACCCTGTTGTCCTGACACAATGTCAACTAAGAGCCAGCATGGTGTTTAAGAACAGAAGCATATCAGTTTGGCATTATTTCATATCATACTTTCCCCTACAATAGCTCTTTGGCAACCTATGGTCTCATGATCTATGTTCCACATTGCAAAATGCTGCCTTCCAGAAGGAAGGAGTACGACAAGTGATCACAGATCACAGCTGCCTCTTGATGCTGGTTGTGGTATGAATATGTTTCACAGCAATTGGCCTCTGGAAGGTGTTAGTTGCCAAAATTGCTGCTCCTTCCCACTCCCAAATTGTGGAGTGCTGGGTGTGCGTTCATACAACAGCCCCACTCTTCAGGAGTAAGTGGGGGGCAAGCAATCATGGTTGCCAACTGCTCCCCCCCAAAGTTGGCTGCCATGTGAATGTGTACAAGTAGCAGGCTTCAGGAAGGTGTTGGCAGTGTGACCACTGCAAGGGGTGGTAGAGGGGTAGAGGAGCAAAATCACATCCACTCATATCACATGACTGCCTGGGACGTGGAACTTCAGTGAAAGAGACTTATTGCTCAAAAGCAGCAATGGAACAGCAGTGAGACTGAGAGCCTATTGACAGGGTTTGCCTGTCAATGAAAATAAATAATAAAAAGTAGCATCAACTGGGTTTTTTTTTAATGTGATGACTAAGAGTACCACACTTAGCCACTGAGCAGAAATTAATTCTTCATTAATTTTCTTCCTGAAGGAAACAACAAGCAGTTTTAGCTATTTTTCTCCCAGCTGTGAAAATGTCTTTGAGAACTTTAGTTTTTGAAGCCTATTCACAATTTGTGCAAAATTGTTCTGTGAAAAATTTACATTGTTGTTTTTGCTTTTTGCACAAAAGACCATTCTTTATTTTGTGCACATTTTTTTCCTCTTCCATGTAAAACAACCATGTGCAAATGTTGTGAAAGTCCCAAACTGCGGACATTCTTATCAGTCAAGGATTCTTCTTAGCAGGGTTTCTTGACACTGCCTAAAATTTTAAAACCATTTTTGAATATTTCCCCCTTAGTCGTAGAATCTAGCTCCTGAAGAAGATGTATCACTGTTCAAGAGGGATGGCATTATATAGAAGATTTCATCTTCCT